ATATAATCAAAAAAAGAGTGGGTGTGAAAACACAGAAGTGTCAAACAACATGCACCAAGGCGTAACTCCGCACACAGACGACAACACATTAGCTTACCCAGCATGCTTCAGCGTTTTGTGCTTTGAAGCATGTGTTACAGGTCGAGTAATACAGGTAACAATTCAAGAGGTGGAAAACCACAACAAGACAGTCACATCGAGGCCAGCTGTGCTCTTAAGAGCAGCATTAGCATAACACAGCGAGATACCTGGAGTGACAGACTGGCCACACAGGTGTGTGCAATAAACACACATCAGTCAGCCCTCCGGCTTCTGGGTGACTAATGCATCGCCAAAACAAAGCAACAGACACAAACCACACAGTCACACAAAATCAGCGGCTCCAAAGTGTGTAGATTCACATACATTGAGTTTATCTGAAAGACAGTCAAGTACATTTGTGCAGCAAAGTCATAAGGTCGCCTATCAGTATTCTTATCAACTCCACAAAATTGTGAGAAACAGGTTTGACTGCACGTAACACATAAAAGACCAGACAGAACGACTTCAAACCAAACTGCATCATCACACTCATGATAATGTTATCCATCATGCTATATGGCAGGGTTCCTCAAATCTTGCCCTGGAGAGCCAATGCGCTGCATTGTTTAGCTCCAACCCTGATCAAACTCGCCTACCTGTGATTTCCTAATGATCCTGAAGACATTGATTAGCATGCTCAGGTGTGCTTGATTAGGGTTAGAGCTAAACTCTGCAGGAAAGTGGATCTCGCGGGCCAGATTTGAGGATCCCTGCTATATGGGGATATTTATGCAGATTTTCTACTCTCCCATTTCAACAGGTGACTAACATGCATTACATAAACAGCACCGTGGCAGTACTATGGTACAGTAATGGCAAAACCATGGTACATTGCTGTGTACTGGGATACTAAATGATTATTACAATAAAAATACTTGTACAATCATATTTACATGGTAATGCAAGGTGTTTCAAAGAATACCATGATTCTGGTACCAAAAACATGGTAGCACCATAGTACATTTCTGAGAACTTTTGAGCTCTTTAAGAAAACACCCTTGTTCTGTGACAGACAGTAGAGCCATGGTAAAGTTACAATATCACATGGTAATACCATGGTATTTTATATAACCTATGGTAGCGAATGACAGCGTTTCGACATACCAAAGTTTTTACATAGCATCCCGAGGTAGTTATAAGAATACCATGGTATTTCTATGGTACAAGTCCAAACATCATGGTCTTAACCATGTCACTTTGTAAGTGAATTTTTTCTGTGTATTCCCACATGAACAGTAAAGCATCCATCACATATTTTGTTGAATGCTGCCAGATTAATCTCAACAATAGTGTTTTGAATATGTATAAACAGCGTCATAAACTTAAGACAGGTCACTATCATTATCATAAACACAACCATGTAACGTTAAATAAATATTATGTCATCATTTACCTCTCAGCAAGCGTGGACTGTGTGCTGCTCATTGGGCTTTCCTTTCTTGGTTTTCTTCAGCTCTTATCCAATTAGCATTTTACCATAGTAAAACACCTTTGTATTTGGAAAAAATAATAATAATAATAAGCAAAAAACAACAACAGCCTGGTGGCACTTTTAAATTTGGACCGTTCCGTCTTGATGTGAAGGGTAAAGTCTCCTCTTGAATGTAACAAACAAGCTTATGTTTTATATTTCCACGGATTGTCTGTGTTGGTTCCCGAAGTCATTTGACTGTAGCCGTACAGAACACAAGAGTTAGCAAAGGAAATCGATGCTAAACGCAAACACATAGATGATCAACGGAGCAAAACGCTTTCTGTTCTGTCCGAGAATCTTCATTTTCCCAGCCATAATGCCACCACACAGACCGACAGGCTTCCCCTCGCCTCTGTCTGGATACAGTCGTCTTTGTCAATCCCAAACCACGGCTGGAAATAAAGCCAGAGAAACAATATGTTGTTAATATGTTGCCTTACGAATGAAGGAGACTGTCCGGCTGCATTTCGCGTCAGTCCAAAAGCTCTTCGCTCATATTACAGTCCCGAATGTTACTTCGTCCGTCTCGACGGTTTTCTTTCATTTCTCTCACTGAAATACTTCCAACTCGGCATTCCTAAAACGAACCTAATCCAAAACGCGGAATTTTCTGTACTGTAAAAAGAAAACCCCCGCAAATTTGCAAGACAGACTACACCATCAATTGAACTGCTACTGTAAAGTAAGTCTGTAAACTAAATATACATCCTTTTTAGGCCCCTTACACGCTGAATGGACTTTTTCTCCAGAAGAATGTGTATCCTGGCCACTTCCACATGTGTGGAAATCTGGGGAAATTCACTCAACGGATGGATTAAAGCATCATCCGCACGGTTCAACCTTTCATTGTAATCCCTTCCCTACCTAGTCCAACTTCCAGAATTCCCATATTTTCCACTCCAGGATCGGGAGAAAACTTTACAAATCGTTTGATGTTTGCTCTAGGGGCAGCGGTTTAGTTCCCAGTTCAGGAATTCTGCTCAAAACAGCTTCGTTTCAACGCGGCAATAAAATACAATCCCAATTTGACGGATGTGCAACACATATTTTCCTCTCGCGAACGGATTCCCTCTGTTCTTGGAATAATTTGTTTGGAAACTTTGGTTTAGTCGGGTCCTTCCCTTCTTGTCTCCATGTTTTCCGAAATTCAGTAGTTTTTAGCCGTTCTTTTTCCAACTAAATCTGTACACCAATGACTCTGTCTCTATACAAAGGCAAATTAAGAAAACACATACATGTGCGTTGTCACATGTGTCAGTTTCGCGCTGTACGAAGATTAAAAACGATTAAGAAAAAAAAATCACAAAAATCCTGATAATTCCCGACTTTCAGTAAAATCACATCCCGGATTCCTACGCCTGCGACGCATCACCACCTTTTGGAGTATCCTTCCGCAAACAGCAATATCGCCTCCCAAGTGTTGTAGACTAGCCTACTAGTTGTCAGCGGTTAAGTACTGACAACTAGTGGGCAGTAAATTAATACAGATTAGCCAGATTCTGCAGAGTAAACAAAGTGATTGTTGAAAAAGGATGCATTCTGATGAAGAAGCAGATCAATATTTAAATATTTATGCATATTAGAAAATAATTGGCAACTTTGATATACAAAAATATGTTCTACATAAACATTCTACGTATTGTAATATTCAATAATAAAAAAATCTGGCCATATGTTACGAACCGTGAGAGATAAGTTATCATTTATAATCGAAGTATGATGAAAACAAAGATAAAAGAAATAAAAGCAATACAGAAAAAAAAACAGATTTTGGAATGAAAGACAGACTGATACAATAAAGCTGTGATTTATTTGTCAATAGTTATCAGAAGGAGCATATTTAAATCTTTTGCGCCACCTAGCGGTTTATTCCTACTAGTGTAGGAACTATAAAACAAACTATAAAAATTAACAATTGAAGCATTCAAACCAATGGACGAATATCATATATTCAATGTTTGTGAACCCAGTAACATCTAGCAATAATCAACTGTTTTATATATATATTTATTTTTTTCACATTGTGTCTAAAACCAGACCAACAAATAAGCAGTTGGTTAACAACTAACCTTTTCATCTGAATCCACAAATGTATCTTTAGTATTTTATATATCAGTATTTTGTTTGTGCAGCAAGGCTTTATTCATATGGACTCGTGCATACTGTCTAAAATATCTGCATAGTAAACAGCCTTCTTGCATCATCAAAATAGTTTGCCATTTTTAACATTTCAGAGTTCCTCTGCTGTTTGGATACAGTGGCTATTACAACCAATCACATACATATGACTTCCTGCCTCCTGTTTAGGGTCTGTTCTTTAACAAAAGCCTTTGCTTTAGGTAAGAGAGAGTAGTACCAGCTCAAACAGATCACACAAAATGTTTAAATGGATAGTTCACCCAAAAATGGAAATTCTATTACAGTTTACTCATGTTTGGTAGCCACTGACTTCCAAAGAATGGGAAAAAATACTGTGGAAGTCAATGGCTAACATCAACTGTTTGGTTACCAACATTCATAAAAATATCTCCTCGGCAGAAGAAAGAAACTCATGAGTAAATGATGAGAGAGCTTTCATTTTTGGTGAACTATCCCTTTAAATTGCTTAAATCTGTTCTTTTAAATTCAACAACCATAACTCAGCAGCTTTAAGGATAAACAGGTGTAAATTACACAGGAAGCCAGTGGTCTTGCAGTGTGACAAGAAGCCACTTGCATCTGAAAATCCACAAGACCAAGATGTTAGTGGTGAATTGAAGTTGAAAAGCAGCAGACATGCTTGAGAAGAGGGTGGTGGAGAAACTGTGTGAGTGCGTTTCCAAAATTTGCAAATTTGAAGCAGCATTGTATTTAGTCTCCAAATATCACTGAAGCTCCTTTCTGCCCGCTGAGGAAATACATTGCATTTAATAAAATCTTAATATGAAATCTTAATAAACCTTCAAATAAAAAAATCTTAATATGTCATGGGAAAGTAATAATATAGTAATATGTTATGGAAAAGTAATGTAAATTAATAAAATCTTAATAGGTGATGGGAAAGTCGTGAAAATTAAAATCCTATTATCTCATGAAAAATTTGTGGAAATTAAAAAATCTTAATACATCACGGAAATGAAGGTCATGAAAATAAAATTCTTAGTGTGTCATGCAACAGTTGTGAAAATAAAAAAAAATCCTAATATGTCACAGAAATTAATAATATAGGCTATTAATATGTTATGAAAAGTAATGGAAATGAATAATATGTTAATATGTAGTGGAAATTAGTAATATCATAATATGTCTTTGAAAAGTCATTTTCAAATTAAGAAAAATCTTTATATGACAAGAACAATTTGGAGAGTAATTAATAAAATTTGAGAAAGTCAGAAATTATAGGAATAGCTATACTGGATTTACATTTTTTCTAGGTATGTTTTATATATGTCACCTTTTGTGAGTTTTTTAAATATCCATTAAAATGGAACCCTGCTAAATTAACAAAATATTTCTAGCTATATCAACAAAAATGCCATTTTCTCAGTCCTAAAGCATAGAAAGGCCTATTTGACTTTAACAGCATGTCCATTAGCATCATCCAGCTTGTACGGTTCCTTCCATCGCCTGTATTTGGGGCGAGTTTTCTTGCAGGCAAAACGTGCAATGTCTATCATGAAGATCCAGGAGAGAGTGTAAATAGCCACTCCAGCAACTTTCACTATAAGCGATGGCTTCAGAGAGGTTAATTCACAATACAGCATTCTGCTCCCAACACCAATCCTCACAGAGGCAAACAGAAGAATGAAGAGCAGGTCCACCACATCTCCTGCTAAACTCTCATAGCGGCCCATGAGCTTGAGGAACCAGCGGGCCTGCAGGAGCGGGTTGGTGATCTCACTGCCAAACAGGACAGCGCAGGTCTCGATGCCCGACTCACCCAGCCCTAGTGCCAGCACGATTCCAAGGATGCTCATGGTGTGGTGGGCCAGCATCACCGGACCCTCAGTGCGGAAATACACACACCAAGCCATGTCAAAGAGGAAGTATCCTAAGCTGAGCACAAGAGCCAGGATCTGGAGAGATGTGTTTTCAGTGCCTGGAAACAAGAGGAGAGTCAGAAGTCACATCCAATGAACCTTACAGACAGAGGCAATTCATAATCCATCACTCTAAGTGAGACAGCATGTGGATCACCAATGGTGCTTCATGCTGCATGAATTATACAAATAACTCCTGATCTACCCAGATCGACTAGCAGATTCAGGACCACAATCCTAGGCAGTAGCCCCTCACTGCAGAACACAAGATCCAGGGGGCGTGGTTGGATCCACATCTAGGGGGTGGAGATGGGTGGGTTTAGGGGTGTAGGGAGTGGAGACGGGTAGGTTTAGGTATATGTAAGGTGGGAGGAGTTGGATCTGGATCCACGCCCCCTGGATCTTGTGTACTGCAGTGAGGACCCTCTCATCCTAGGACCCAAGTATATATATATATATAAGGTAAGATTATCAAAGAACAATTAAGGACAAGCTAATAATCAAACGTCTCTCTCGTGTTTTTGCACAGAAGAGACTGAATCTGGAGAAGATGCATCTCTATGACTGGTTTAGTCAAGGATTAACCTTTTATTATTATTATTATTAAATTTAAATTTAATTTTTTCCAAGTCAATTTTGCTCTAAGCGTAATGTATTTAGACAAATAACGCTGGTTTATTTTTTGTTTCAGGTCATGGAGTAAGACATGAAGAACATCAGAAAACAACTCCTGTCACGGCCACCCTGCTGTTTTCTGTCTTCAGCCGTTTTTGTGTCTGGTGGCCTGACAAGAGTGGCCTTTCCATCCCTCCACTTAGGCTTTAATGTCTTTGCGGGGCCGGCAAGTCCTGGTAGTGCCTGGCACCTTGACTTGAACCAGCAATACTTGCGTCTGGCGGTATTGCTTGCTTGGGGATGTGTAAATAATAATTATTTTGTGAGAGAATTCATAAGAAAATGTATAAGAAATTTTGTAAAAATTTATATCACAATTTACAGTATAAGGAATTTTGCAAGAAAATGTATCACTTCTGAAGCTGCAATGGCCTCAGAGGTCCCTGTCATGAACCAAACAAAAAATCTACTGCCATCTGCCACCTCTAACACTTCAAAATGAATACAATTAATGAACTGAGCCGAGCACTTCCAGAGGTTCCAAGTTTGGTCCGAGATATTGACCAAAACGTGAATTGGTTTATTATAGCGCCACCTAGTGTTGGGCAGATGCGTGTCTGTGCACCTAAATAGCGGTGCATGTTTGGGACCATCCTGCTGATTTTGGGATCTCTGTGATTTACGGTCTCTGGCGCCTATTTATTTTTGATGGCAGAAAAATACAGAAGAAGCAAAAGAAAATCAGTACAAATGCAAATGGGTTCCAGCACCTTTGCTGCTTGGGGCCCTACAGATATTAATAAACATAGCCACAAGAATAACTGTATCACCAGTGTGTCATAATTCTACAAATAAACTGGTTTCATGCATTTAATTCAATTATTCTAATCTAAGCTTAAATTGAGCATTGAGAAAGTAGAAGAATTGTGATTTTTTTTTTTTTTTTTTTACACCTGGTTGCTGAGTTAGTTAAAATGTAAACTGACTTATTATAGCACAACCTAGTGTCAGTTTCTTTCTACTTTTTTGGCTATATAAATATCACTTACTGCACCAAATTGCATATATCTATTCAGTTTGGGCCTTAAATTAAATTAAACCTATGTTTTTTCCCCCTCCACATTCCTCTATCATACAGTATATAAGCCTGCTCAAATATTACACTCAAATAATGTTGAGTGCACCTTTTCTCTTTTTTTATTACTGTTTTGTTTTAAAGGTTCAATAAACTGTTCCATTTAAAATAAAATGTTTTGTTGTTGCTGTTGTTTTTATTTTCTAACTATTATTTCATATATCAGGCTTTAGAGGGTTAAAACTTTCCAAACAGGACAACTTACCTGGGTGTGTGAAAGGCCATGGCCCAGCAATGAAGCCAATGTAGGCAGTCACACAGACGAGCAGGATGCCGTAGAGCAGAGTTACCAGCCTGCAGTTCCACTCACAATCTCTCGCACTGTTCAAGTGACACAGCAGCACATACAGAAAGTACCAGCCAATCAGGCTGCAGCTCGTCTCCACAACCATCAAAGGCATTTCTGCACTGGAAAGACAAAATAGACAAACATATGAATAAGATATGCACAATTCTTGTGTAGCAAATATTTAAAATTGCTGTCGGTATCAGGGTTTTATAGTTAACTACAACTAAAACCATAAAAAAACGAGACTTGAAATAAAATATAATTTAACTAAAATAAAATGTAAAAAAAACATATTTTATTCAACTAGTTGCCGAGGCCACAGTCCTCATTTTTATGTCATGTAACTTGATGTACAAAAATAACTCAAATGAAACATAATGAACACTATATGCATATTTAAAAAAAAAGCATAACAAAGCAAAATTAATAAAACTTTAAAGACAAATAGAAAGTTTAATAAGATATAAATGATATGTGTACCAAATACTTAAAATTTCGGGCTGCATCATAATTATTATAATTAACTAAAACTAAAACCATAAAATTATTGTGACTTGAAATAAAATAAATGTTTTCAACAACGTGTTATAAAGAGCGGCGTGTTACATAACGCCGGCATAACTGCCAAACCCTGTGTTCAGCTGAGAGAGAAGGAGAGGAGCGAGAGCTCAAGGGCACTGCAGTATGTTCAGATTCACCCTGATAAAAAAGGAGGGAGAAAAAAGGAGAGTTATTCATAGAGATTGAGGAAAGGGGGGGAGTGTAAAGGAGGAGGAAAGACGCTGGAATGGAGGAGGTATTGATTTGCTTAGAGGGAGGACAGGAGAGATGGTGAAAGTCAGTCGAATGGAGAAAGCAATTGAGGAGAGATGACAGAAAGATTCTGATTTAGATTACAATAATTACGCTTTCTTAAAGGAACAGTTCATGTAAAATGAATATATATATATTATTTTAAGTTATAAAACAAATTGTATATATTTATATATACAGTATATATATATATATATCATTTTGAGGCAGTATGTTTGTGCATAATTACATATTTTATAACAGTTGCATTAAAGAAATTAACATTAATATATATAAGCATGCATATATATAGATAGATAGATAGATAGATAGATAATTACAAATATTAATAAGAACTATAATAGTATCTAGTCTAAATGTTTCTCTAGTTTTGAATTTGACAGTATATTACACCTTAAATAAGAGATAAATTATAAAAAGAATGGAAAACAATGCTAAATATCATCTCAGTTGAGTGACTTAATTACTCAAATGCATTTTGCAAAAAAAACTCATTTACAAACCTCAGATACAACTCATGTGTATGGACCTAAACATCCCGGTAAATCCATGAGGTAGCTCCAGGCTTCTCCTCAACCCAGTGCATTCTCAGTGCATTGCAGCGTCATGTCAGGACATCCATGCATGTGACATCTCCGACAGAAAATTCCTGAAAGTGGTGTGACAGGACAGACACAATCACGGCGTAAAGCTACAATGCTTCCGATCGCTCACTTCCTTTTCTCTATGCAGCCTCAAGCGGCTTTAGCCTCTTATGAGATTAGACTCTTCACTCCCAATATACCCCCAGATAAATTCCACACTACATGGAGGCCATTCATCTGCCCATCCTATGACCTAACAGTGGGGTGATTTGTGCCCTCCCTTTAATTTCATTCAAGCTGTACTGTAGTAAGGAGGGAATTGGGAATTGGGCCAAAAAGGGAAGTACTGTGCAACCTCTTAGTATCAGGTGCCTGAAGGTCATTACTTATAAGACACAGGATTAGTGTGATAGTCACAGTACATGCCAATGAGACAGGGATACATTACTGCTAGTAGAAAAAAAAACAGTTTGTGGAATTTGAAAAAAGTGATGACATACATAAAGGTTTAGAAAAATAGAGGATTCAAAAGGGAGTTTTTGCAGCCAAGCCATTTTATGGTTCTCTAAAGAACCTTTAAGTGATCCGTTTTTAAAAGAACCATGTTTTTCTTAGTGTAAAGAACATTTTGATAATCCAAAAAACCTTTTCCGCTATATAGAACCTTTTGTGTGATGGAAAGGTTCCATGGATGTTAAAGCAACTGCATGTAGTTCTGTGTATTTTTGTGACTTTGGAGCCCCCTACAGTAAAATTAGTGGTATTTACTGTCGTAAATAGAGTATATCACTGTCGTAAGTACGGTGGATAGCTGTACCCATTCGGACATGCTTCTTTTGTCACATACTGTTTTTCGCTTACTATATAGCAGGGAAGCATGCCATATTGAATGCAGCCATCTGTTCTCCATAGCTCTGGCGTTACTTTGATGTCATACATCGATAGGTCTGCACAGCACGCTTCAAAGCAGAGCACACCAAACAAAAAAAAGAAAAAGCAGAGCACACCAAATGGCAGTGAAGTGACGCAACTGATGCTGACAAGTCATGTGACAATGACAACATACTGTATAGTACGTCCAGATTACATTCATACTATAGGCTTATAGAACCTACTTTTGCGGTCACAAAGTAATTACTTCTTCAAAAAGTACCTCAAGAGAGTATAACATGCGATTTCGGCTGCAGCCACAGTGTGCCGTGATGCAACTGACGTTGGAAGGTCACATGACAATGACAAAATGACGAATATTGTACGTCCAGGTGTTGAGCCGAATCCTGATCCCCCACCAGATTATTAGCCCCCTAGGTGTAGAGCAGAGGTCTCCAAACTCAGTCATGCAGAGTTTAGCTCCAATGCTAATCAGACACACCTGAACCAGCTAATCAAGCTGTTACTAGGTATACTAGAAACTTCCAGTCAGGTGTGTTGAGGCAAGTTAGAGCTAAACTCTGCAGGACACCGGCCCTCCAGGACCGAGTTTGGAGAACTTATTAGAAGTCAGTGTACCATCTGAATGATTTTGAAACTGACATTTCAAGGTAAAAAAAAATAAAAAAATAAATAACCTTTATTTTTCAGAGCCTTAAATAAATAATAGTCTATTTTAAGCAAAAGTGTTTTTTTGGTACCTTCTTGACAGACTTAAAGACCACAATCAGAGCACACGTTCCCAACATTCTCCCTCTGCCCTTGAAGAGTGTCCTGAGGATAGGGGACGAACGGGTATCTGAGCCCCGGCATTAACCCACATCCAGTTTTGCTTTAATCTGAGACAGAGCAAGATTATCACCTCCCAACAGAGACCTGGAGCGAATAACCTGTCATTCTCAAACTTTTATACATTTTGCTTGCATAATGGAAATAAAAACATCCGGATGCTGTCACTTTTCAAGTTCATCCAAGAAGATCCAATGATTTACAATGATTAATAAACAAAGTAATACTTGAGGTCATGTTAGCAGACATTTGCTCTGCCCTCATAAATGAACATTAATTAGAGTATGTTCAGTGTTAAGAGAGAATTGTAAACATACAGTATGTAGAAAGATTGTGCTCTGCTGTCCTCATGCACATATAACAAATTTACGCGAATATTAAAATATGAAACTTCAAAATTTGAAAGACATAAATCATAGCCTATTTGTTGCTGTTCTCAAGTATTTTGCACTGACTTCTAAAATGCAAAACTGTAATTTGGTCTCAATGAATATACTGTTCTTAATTACTGTTGTTTTGAGTTTAATTCTTGAATATAAAGAAATACACCACACTCATAATATGATAAACTTGAGTCACTCTTGTTTATAACAGTAATCAGAAATGTCTCGGGGAAAAATCATGAAATATATTTAAATCAACCCACAGAAAATATTAATCATGGTCAAATATTAAACTCAAATTTTAAAGTCATATTCATTGCCATTTTGCCATGTTCTCAGTATTTTGACTTCAAAATTGTAATGAATAATTTGTGTGTGTGTGTGTCAGTAGTCTTTTGTAACGCCCATTTATTTATTTATGTATGTATGTTAATGGTCAAAACAACATAGTAACAAGTAACAGAAAATTCAAAACAAAATTAAACAGAAGAGAAAAAGAATAAAATATCAACAAGTTTTAAGAAAGTCACTAAAAACAGGAACAGAATTACAACAAATTTTATAGTTAACGATGACACAATTTAATCACTGGTAAAACCCCTCATCAAAAACTTGTTCCTTCATTTCATCACCAAGGAAGTGACAATTTTATTTATTTACTTTTTTGTTCAGCAGGCCAAACATTATTAAATATAAGCACTGAATTTGATGAATTGTGGGATGTTTTGTGGTGTTGGTTTGTATCACCCATGTAAGCTACAGTATAACTGTCAATCCTCTCAATGTCTTTATTCCATCCGGTTTAGTATCCTGTTAATTATCTTGCAATAATGTAAACAATCAAGCTAGAATTAATAAAGTTTAAGTGGGCTTGACCAGAGCATAATTCTGAAAGCCTGAATTTCTGCTAAAAACCCTTTTAAATAAACAATTCCTTAAATAACAACATGGGAATCTATATTTAAAGTTAAAGAGTTTAAAAGGGACTGAGCAGAAACAGAAGTGATCCCCATGCACGAATGTCTCTTTGAGTTCAGGTCGATAATGCCTGACTCCACAAATAAATCCTGATTCAGGGCAGCTCGAGTCCTGTGTGTGATTTTAGTGAACTGTAGAGGGCAGCCTTCCTCTACATTTATCAGTTTTAACTGAGTAGAGAGTGAGTCTGGAAACTATATTAGGTTGAATTAAATATATTTCTGTCAGGACCACTATCGTCAAAATGATAGATACTTAGCATAAAGTTTGGTTTGGCGGTATGGTTCTGTTCTGGGCAGCCTGTCATGAATGAGCAGGGAGAGCAGCAATAATAACCAGGAATGCCACGATAGGTGTCGTATTCCTATAGGTAGATGTGATCAGCTGAGAATCAGCTGATGCAAGCTTGACTCACGTGACCTGCCAGAACTAACGCTAACGCTTAATTTCATGACTTTGGTCACGTCTTTCAGACATTTCTGATTATTGTCATAAGCAAGAATGACTCGAGTTTTCTCATTTGATTATAACAATTATGTGTCTGGTGAATTTCTTTAACTTCAGCACTATGGAATTAAAACTCAGAATAACACGGTAATTAAGAACAATATGTTCAGTGAAACTGAATGACAAATGCAAATGTGCCCTTCGCAAGTACACATCTCAATAAAAGATATCATGGAAACTGTGATTTAAATAAAACCAGCTTGGATCAGCAGATATTGTCATCAGTGCTGCCGGATGCTTCACTTCAGCAGACAGAGACTCTGTAAAAACACACTTCTGCGCTTCTGGATTCAGGTCTGCCAGAGGAAACACAACTGGACACCTGGAGGAAAGACCTGCATTGAGAATGAAACAAAAGTGAAGCTTTCCAAGAATTTGAGACAAACACTGAATGTAACATATCTTTATTTTTTGGCCAAAAATGATATAAAAAATGCAAGCATCAAACCACAAGTACTTAATTTACAACCATAAGTGAAATCAAACATAACACATTGCGTAACTGTGTTTGCGAACAATCTACAATGAGAATGATAGTTTGCGCTATTACAACATAATTCGCTCACGAGGACAAGCAGGGGAAAGGTGCCAGTGTAGTATGCAGTGGTTCAACAGTGTTCTGACAGTCTCAAATGGCTCGCACTAATATTTAGACAATAGAAAGATTGTTAAACTACGAAAAAGAAAAAAAGGTGCCTGTGTCTCTGTTTCACTTCAATAAACACAAAAGGTTGTGAACTGGACATGACTTGTAAAGGAAAATAAGCTGAACACAAAAATAGACAAAAATCAGCCAACTTTTTTTTTTTTTTTAGCTTTTTCGATGGAATTTAAGCATAACACAACACGAGTCTAGAAGAATGCATGAGCAGAGCTATAATTAAATATGAATTGTCCAAGTGCGGTTTAGTGTTTTAACAACAGTCCTGAAGTTATTAGGGTTCAGCTTCCTCAAGCTGATGTAGATAACATGTGTCACGTCGTTATTGAACAAAAGTAAAAGCCAAAGCCACATTCAAGAACATGAAACAAGTCTGTACATTAGAACAAATCCCATTACTGAACGAATGACAGGCCTCAAAAACGAGCTTTTCAAAATCTGAAAAAGTAACTGAAAAACTGAGAGCAAACAAAGGAGCCATAGGTTTTTAGGCTAAAACGTACTGCTTCTCTTTCTAAAAAGTATTATTATTCATGGCATTTATGAAAACAACAAAACTTTCCTTTCACCAAATACAAAGACATGCGCAAAACAAACAAGACAACAGAAAGGTTTCAGTGTAACTAACATTGACGTGAAATGAAGACACATTTCCGCAGGCACTGCAGTTGAGGCAGAAACAGAGGGAGCTCAAAACACAAAGAGCTACAATTTCCTTCCCTACGACTATTTACAAACAGTACACAAGCTCTGCAGTAGTTTGAGTTGGACCGTACACACACTATTAAGTGTCAGCTCAGTATTATTGACTGAATGCCGGGGTCATGTTTATTCGGTTATCCAGGTTGCACTGGGTTTCTTAATATTGTGAAGGGCTGTGTGTTTATGAAGACTACACATGTTATTCTCAATGTCTTTACGTGGGTTTTTTAATGAACAGCCTTTCAAACTGAACTTACATTTATTATTTGGTCCATTGGGATTTACTGGAATATCAGGAGACGACTAAATGTTCTGTACATTTAAAACAAAATCAACTTTTTCGCTGTTTGTAGATGCTTTCTGCTGCATTATGCAAGGACTGAAAAACGAAAACATTTTCTGAACAGAGCTTAGAAAAGCACATCTGGAACCAATAAGGTCACAAGTAGGATCAATCGCTAGACATTTTTATAATATATACATTTTTGTGGTCTAAAAAGGACATCAAGCCTCATTTGTGAAACAAGCAGAATGAATTCATTTTAAAAACCATTTTTATGTAAATAATCACATTAAATCAATGCGTTCATTTGTGCTTGAGGTGATGACATATTTTTGTAGGCCAACTCGGAAGTAAGCATCCCCCTGGTTTCCTTGACCAAAACCCAACAGGATTTTTCCATTAACTTTTGGGTTTCTGTATTTTATGTCATAGAATAAACCATCAAAATAGCCTGAGCTTGTATTAACCAGAGACCTTATTTCAGAGAATTAACCAAAAACACATTCAAAAAAACTTCAGAATGATGGAAACGCTAATTCGTTTCCAGACTTTGGCCTACAAAAATATGTCATCCCTGCAGCACTCTGTTGGTTTTTCATGCAACGTGGTGCTCACATTAGATGTAGACAGGGTGTAAGAATGTTTTTACTCCGTAATTCATTTTGCTTGTGTTTAATGGATGAAGCTCGTGATCCTGAAATTGGTCGATGGTTGAAGAAAAACAATGGAGAACAGTAGAAAACAGAGAACAATCTTCCTTTATCGCTTACGTCTCATTTATCCAAGCATGGATACTGCTGCTCACACACGAGACACAAAAGTACAGTCCACTTTATCCAGAGGAGGTGGCTGCTTCACAAGAGGTCCTCCAGCTCTTAAGACTTGATTGTTGGGTCAGCAGGGAGGTACAGAAGCCATCTTTAGTTGCCCACAAGTCTTCACTTATGAGCTAAGGGCACTGCTCTTTATTCCAGGAAAAAGCGCCACATAATAAAGTTAAAGAGATGTTCCTCAGGTCATCTCATCATGGTAACAAGAGTCAAGCACATATGGTTACCTGGTCATTGGGAGGTTTCTTTTCCCCACTGACGCCCTTCAATAGCACGGACTCATCCTGAAATTGGTCGATGGTTGAAGAAAAACAATGGAGAACAGTAGAAAACAGAGAACAATCTTCCTTTATCGCTTACGTCTCATTTATCCAAGCATGGATACTGCTGCTCACACACGAGACACAAAAGTACAGTCCACTTTATCCAGAGGAGGTGGCTGCTTCACAAGAGGTCCTCCAGCTCTTAAGACTTGATTGTTGGGTCAGCAGGGAGGTACAGAAGCCATCTTTAGTTGCCCACAAGTCTTCACTTATGAGCTAAGGGCACTGCTCTTTATTCCAGGAAAAAGCGCCACATAATAAAGTTAAAGAGATGTTCCTCAGGTCATCTCATCATGGTAACAAGAGTCAAGCACATATGGTTACCTGGTCATTGGGAGGTTTCTTTTCCCCATTGACGCCCTTCAATAGCACGGACTCCTCCGTCTTTTTTGCCTTCATCTCTACGACGATGTCCTCTTTGTTAGTCTTCTCCTTGGTGCTGTAGGCATTCATGCTGTAGAGATTAACACACCGATACACCACACTGCAACATTTGGCTGCATAGATGTTTTTCTGTACTCCTGTACTGAATTATATATTGCATATGCAATTTGCTGTTAGAAAGTTTTGTCAAAATTTGTCAAAAAGAAGTGAATCAAAAGTTTGGACACAACTGACAAAATTTGTTTCTCATGATTGTAAAAACCGTTTGATCTTCAAATGCTTATTTTTGCAGACAAATAAATTTACCCATATGAATTTCTTTTCTAGAATTGTATTATTTTAATAGGGTCTTTTTATAAACATTAGTAACATGAACATGAAATACATGAAACTTTTACAGCATTTATTGATCTTGGTTAATGTTCATTTTTATGTACACTATCATTCAAAAGTTTGAGGTCTGTAAAATTCGTTTTTTTTTTTTTTGAAATGTATACTTTTATTCAGCAACAATGTATTAAATTGATCAAATGTGACAGTAAAGACAATTCTAATGTTACAAAAGACTTCTATTATTTCAATTAGATTTCTATTTCTATGATTATTATTATTTATTACTAAAATCTTGAAAATATGTGTAATGTTTTCAACATTAATAATAACAGGAAATCTTTCTTGAGCAGCAAATCAGCTTATTAGAGGGATTCCTGAAGGATCATGTGACTGGATTAAGATGGGAGTAATGGCTGTTTTGGATCACAAGAATAAATTATGTTTTAAAATATATGAAAATAAGCACAATTATTCTAAATTTGATTATTATTTACATATTAGAATTTAAAAATATATATTTTAAAAACTTGCTGACCCCAAACTTTGAATCTTAGTGTATACCAATAAATATTTATTATTTTAAGTTATAAAAAATAACATTATAGTAGTACGAATGAACATGAATTAACAATGAACAAAGTATATTTATTAAATAACATTGAACCTAGATTAATAAATTCTGGAAAAAAAATATTTTAGTTCATGACACCTACTATAAACTGAACTTTAATGCTACATTCAAATTTTAATTGAAGTTTTCATATTATTCAATATTTTCATGACACAATAATAGAGATGCCCAAACTTTTGACTGGTAGTATACCATGGCACTTAATATGTCATGTAGCATGTTGTACTACAGGATACCATTGCAAAACACATGATAATACCATGGTACATATATACTATAGTACCGTACTGTAAAACATATTTATTATTTATTTTAATAATTTTTAAAATGTATTTTATTCAAATGATTGATTTATTTATTTAATGTTATTTTTTTGCTGTTTACTTATTTTTACAGTTTTTAATACAGTTTTTCTTTAAACTTTCCCACAGATCCCCTAGCACTTCCTCACAACCCCTGTACTAATGTTTACTAAAAAACTGGATAGAAGGGAAAAAGTATTACATACATTTCTTGCTTGCCTGAGCGTCCACAGGGTAACTTGCCCTTTTTATACAGGAAGTAAAAGACACTGCCCAGGATGGCCAGCAACAGGATGCTGACAATGATCACCACAATAATCACTCCACTATTATCAGCTGGAGAGAGAAAACAACAGATGCCAACATTAGTATGACTGACTGATATATAATAATAACCAACAAACTAGTGCCATTTCAACAAGACACAATACATTCATGCTGAAACGCAATAAATGGGCTTTCAGGCAAATTACAAACGTGAAATACCCCACTAGATCACGAAAAGAGCACGAAAGGACACATTACACTGCACTTTTTTAACAATGGCTGCATCATTTGTATTCAAAACATGTGCCACATGACAAGGACACATGTCCTTATAAATGAGATGAGTTTGGTATGAAACATATAATTAGTAAAATGGAATAAGAGACTCAAATTCCTCAGAGTCAAATAAAGAAAATTAAGGAGTGCCATTCAGAGGAAGCGTCATCAAATGCTATAAATAAACAGAGACAAGAAGCAATTGTCTGGGAATGAATTTTATTGGTTAAATCTACTCAGTAAAACAGCAGGCCGCCACCACAATCTTCACCGTAATAGTTTAACAGTCTCAGTTGCAGCCCAGCACTTCAAAACATTTGTTAAAATATTCACATTGAACTAATTATACATTCGGCACTGGATCTGCCCCTGCTATCTGAAGTAATGTCTGCTTCAATTTTTGCTTGCTTTTTTTTTTTCTCTCTGACTTCTCTTCACACAGAATTTTAAATATGCCCAGAGGCCGACATGAAGAGCCAGGCTAACCGAGCTGCTGCGGAGGCTTTGCCATATAAAATCTATGAATTATTCAAGTACATTAGATGATCTTTCATTGTTTGTTAGGGTTGGATTTTGCAGGGATGAAATGGACTGGGTGTTGATTTAAAGCATACGATCCTTTCTAACAGACCTATAGACCGACAGAAGAGGGGGGAAAAAAAAGTTACCTGAGGTTTTTCTAGCCGTTGGAGTCTGGGAGAATGGAACTGGGAGAAAACAACAGACAACATTAACATTTTTTATTCCAAACAACCAATATTATCAAAGAAATCAAACATATCCTATTCACTCTGACATCGTGCCTCATCTAAAGTTGAAAAAAAAAAATGACTTGGTTAAAATGTATTATAAACCTGATGATGATATGTTTTTGAAAAGTAAAGACATTTATAACATTACAAAAGTATGTTAAAATATTAAACAGCTCAACTGGTTTTAAAGGGGTCATATGATGTGATTTCAATTTTTCCTTTCTCTTTGGAGTGTTACAAGCTCTTGGTGCATAAAGAAGATCTGTAAAGTTGCAAAGACTAAAGTCTCAAATCCAAAGAGATATTCTTTATAAAAGTTAAGAGTTAACCACACCTACCTAAAATGGCTCGTTCTAACACGCCCCCACATGTCTACGTCACTATGTGGGAAGATTTGCATAACGCTGCCCAAATGTTCACGCAAAGAAAGAAGGTGTAACTTTTATTCCAGCCTGTAAGTACGTTTTTATATTTAAAGGATTTGCCACTGACGATTCAAACACGAGTTTTGAGCAGTAGCTCAGAGTAGCACTTGTTGTTTGTCGTTTCTCCAATCACAAATGCAGATATGGTTTTATGTTTACACAGCGTGATACGCAACGCAACGCGTAAAAAAGACAATATAAGTCATTATAATCATATCACGGCTGTTTCACGGTTGTCAACTGTTTTCATTGATAATAATAAGAAATGTTTCTTGAGCACCAAATTAGCATATCAGAATGAAGCATCATGTGAAACTGAAGGATGTGGTGAAATGATGCTGAAAATTCAGCTTTGCTTCACAGGAATAAATTACATTTTAAAATATATTCAAATAGAAAACAGTTCTTTTAAAATGTAAAAAATATTTTACAATATTACTGTTTTTACGATCAATTAAATGCAGCCTTGGTGAACATAAGTGACGTCTTTTAATAACATAAAAAAAATTGACCAACTCAAAACTTGCACAATAGTGTACTTATAGATTTGATAAATTAATAAAACATAATTTTATACATAGATAAAATTAGATAAAATATGTAAAAAATGTAACAATAATCTAAGTATAGATATTACATTTATATTAAAAGAAATGTTCCTAAATAAATGTTTGTTATTATAATACATTTAGTCCATTATATTTAAGTGTCATATTTAACATTAATAATCAAATATATTACATATGAAATCATCATCATCATGATTAATAACAGTGATTAATCATTATTAATAATAATTATTATTCTAAAATGTTTAATAATCAACTGGATGTGCCCTGATTTTCAGTGTAAATAAGGAACATTAACATGTACTGCTCCTGATGCTGTAAGTCTTGGTCTCTATTCCAAAGTCATTTGTTGAATTGCAGACAGCAACCGTGTCAGTGGTAACTTTAAGCATCACAACGCTGTGGACTTGATCCTCCGTCTCTCTTTTAACCACCTCACGCCAGCTCTGAGACTACAACACACACACACACATAAACAAGACAAAAGCGTCAATCCACAGCTCAGTGTAACGCGAGCAGAGCGCTGAGAGGAAATCTGTGTTACCTGACTGCCGGTGATGCTCCAGGTGATGGCGGGTCTAGGGTAACCTCCCACCTCACAGCTCAAATTCACCCAACCCCCGACTTTCTCCATCAGCTCAATCTCCCTCTCCGCATCCTTCATCTGAGGGGCGCCTGGAGGAACAGATCCAGCAACTATTTTAGAAATACTAAAACTAAATATAAAGCTCTTTTGGTGAGTTTCAGCAGTTTAAATCACTTGATGAGCTCTTCCTCACCTTGTACGATGATATGGACAGAACCGCTGGTCAGCAGGCCTGGAAGAGACGGTACAGTCACCTCACAGTCATACTGTCCAGATGTGTCAAACGTGGCATCCTGCAGCTGCATTATGTGTCCCCTTCCAACCTCAATCCCATCCTACACACAAACAAACGTGTGCAAACAAATTTAGTGACGAACGGACGGAGTGAAAAGAGGCTCTAAACGGAATGTGGGAGACCAAATGAACGTGTCTAGAGTGCTGAAAGATAAGTGAATCACACTGCAGCGTTACCTTAAACCACACAGTAGATGTCTCTAAAGACGACAGGGCATTGCAGGTGGCTGTCAGACTCTCTCCTTTCAGCATGACCTCAGAGTCTTTGGGCACCACCACAGCTGGGTCCAGATCTGAGCACACACACATATATGTGAACGGTCAGTGATTCAGAGTAAAAGCCTTGTTGTGAGCGTTACTTGAATTATATTAGCTTCATTTAATGAGGGTGAATAAATGATGACAGAATTGTTAATTTGAGGTAAAGTATTGCTTTCATATTGCTCCAGCAAAATATCACTTTCAACTTAAAAATATCATTTTTTAAATCCATTTTTAATTAAAATGCTTAATGAAATAATATAATTAAAACAAATGCATGTATTTTGCAACATAAATACAAAATGTGGAAGAATTGAGGCCTAGTGAACGTGAACCTAGGGAAGTTTTATTTTTCAATAAAGGGTGTAACTCATACTGCTAATAATGTTGGCTCCTTTATGTTAAATTATTTTTGTAATTTAGTTTCTCATTTAAATCACTTTGGACAAAAGCATCTGTAAAATTAATAAATAAAATTTTGGAGTCGGTAAGATTTTTTAAAAATGTTTTTGAAAGAATGCTATAATGCTCACTAAGGCTGCATTTATAAGTGATACTGTGAAATATTATTACAATTTAAAATAACTGTTTTATATTTTAATATATTTTAAAATGTCATTTATTCCTCAAAATTTCAGCATCATTACTCCAGTCTTGAATGTCACATGATCCTTCAGAAATCATTCTAATATGCTGATTTGCTGCTCAAGAAACATTTCTTGTTATTATCAATAATCAAAGTTGTGCTGCCCATTATTTTTGTGGAATCCGTAATACATTTTTTGTTTCAATATTTTTATGGATGAATAGACAGTTCAAAAGAGCAGCATACAATTGAAATAGAAATCTTTTGTAACACTATAAATGTTATTAGTGTCATTTTTGATCATTTCAATGCATCCTTGCTAAAAAAAAAGTATTAAAGGGGTCATATGATGCGATTTCAAGAAAGGCGGGGCATAGAGGAGCAACAATAATGTACAGTATGTGGAAAATAATGTGTTTTTTAACCTTAAACCACATAAACACATTTCATTACACCAAACACACAAAATAATGTTCTTTTTAGCAGCATCATATGACCCCTTTAATATAAAAATCTTATCTTGAATGGTAGAGAAAATGTTAATTATTCAACATTATTAAGTGTCAACAAATTTGGCAACAATACTGATAGATGATTAGATTATGCTGGTGTTACTGTGTGTGAAAACTTGAGAAACTGGAAGTTGAACTCACAGTGCACAGTGAGCTGTAGGGTGTCCAACACCTCATCATGGTTCACGGCATCCACATCCAGAGAGTGACATTCATACACACCGCTATCTGCACGAGACACTTCCTTCAGAACCAGCAACCCCTGAGAGGAATCCAGCTCCACATCTGACTGTTATGAGCAGGACACACAGAAGAGTGTGAATGTCTATTATACATTCATCCATAGACCACAAGTAATATTATACAGTGAGTAACATGAAATAAAAAAAAAAAATTATGAAACAATCCCTTTATGTTTTTTCAATAAAGTCTGAGTAAAGTCTAGCAGTCATTCTACAGCAGTGTTTTTTAACTGTGGTCTGTGGACCACTTGATATCCTTTACCAGTGTTGTTATTGTTAACTAAAACTTAAAAACTTCAACCAAAATAATTAGAAATGTTACCTTGGCAACTCTGAAATAAAACGCAAAACAATAAATTTAACAAAATCATATTATATAAATAATACTAAAATAACACTACCCTTCAATTAAAACTATATATTAAAATTATTATATATTATAACTATCTAATGTAATTATCAAAAAGCACCATCATTGAATTCTTTGATGGATTAATCAGCCAAGACAAAGAATTACCTCTATAATTGTTTTAATATTATTTCCGGACTAATTAGTGTTAATTACTGTTGTCTCACTTCAGAAATGTAACATAATTGAACACTGACATTTATGTGACAGAGTTTGTAGGGGTTCAGTCCAGTTTGTTATAGAAAATATACTTTATACAGAGAGAGAGAGAGAGAGAGAGACGTTATTTCCGGGTCCAATACATGGCTGGTGCACGTCAGCAAGTCATTGACAGATTTTTTTCCCAGTCTTTGAAGCATATTTCCTACATTACTCTTTTATTTATTTATTTATTTTGTTCAGTCATTTAATTTAGGTGTGTATTTCTATTTTTCTGCCCTTTTTTAATTATTTAATTTATAAATTAATAATAAAAAAAGAGTAATAAAGTGTACAATAAAGTACAATCAAATCCTTATATTATAATCACATTGCACTTGAATAAAGTTAAAGGTGCAATCTGCCGATTGTCCTGCACGTGACCTCATAACTCTGTCTTCTTACGACGCACTTCGGACTGGCCGATTACTCCAGAGCACTCGTAGATCTACGATGATTTTCAAGTGCTACTTAAGTTACGATGATTTTGGGAAACAGACCGTAATATTAAGATCAGTCGTATGATCGTTTTTACGAACTTCTTAGGCTTACGAAGCTTTTGGGAAACACAGCCCTGATTAATAAAGTTCTTTAGCTAAAAGGTACAGTTAAGTTATTTCAAATAAAATAAAAAATCGCAATTTGGCACAATTACAGACTGGCCTTTTTAGCATAGATTGGCATAGACCAGGGCTGTCCAAACTCGGTCCTGGAGGGCCGATGTAATTATTCTTTTTTTTCTTTCGCATTTCTCTTTACATTGATAAGCAACTTGCAAACCCCCTGAGGTTCTTTCACAAACCCTAGTTTGGGAAACCCTGACGTAAAATGATATTTACAGTATTTCTTCTTGTTGATAGCAAACAATGGAAGATATTTTCTTTCTCTTTCTATTTTTATATCAGTGTGGTACAAAATATTCCTATTTAAGTCAATGTGACTTGAGTCAAAAGTAATCTAAAAACAGTCAACAAAAGTAGTCTGATTAGATTACCTAAAATGTGTAATGTGTTACGTTACTAACTACCATTTGTATCATTTGTATCTACCCAGCATGGCCTGTGAAACACTAAAGCTATCTGAAATATAAAAAACTGTAAAATACAAAACCATGTTAGATCTGTCAGATCTAATGTGATCTTTTAACCTTAGTGGGATTTCGGACCAATGAGATTTCACAGTGGGCGGAGCTATCCAGCACATTGCAACAGATACAAAAGCCCAAGCATCCAAGCAGTGTTATTTAGCTTGTCCCAGCTGCAAGAGTTTGAATATATCACATTCCACTTCATCAAAAACTCTCAATCATAAATGGACTTACAATGAACTGTAATATTGATGCCTTTGGACTCGGATGTCCTGACAGCTCCTGGGACAAAATAGCTGACTTCACAGGAAAAGTGGGCGTCTTTGTCTTCCTTGGTCACCTTATAATGCAATTCACTCTGCACTGTATATAGACCACTGGATTCCTTCGTCACTAGCGTTACCACGTTCACCACTGACATGAAACACGCACACAACCAGACATACATTCACATTAGTGGCAATATTTAAGAGGAAACAGAACTTAATTCTTCATATAAACCTTGCTGGAAAAACCAGGTCATACCATCTTTAGGAGTAGCTGGTTTTTAGAACAATGTTGCTTGTTCAGTGTGGTCTACCAGCTCAAAAGAGCTTGACCAAGATGGACTACCAGGCCAGTAAATGTTCCACCAGTCCAGCTGACCAAACAATGAACACAGCCTGGACCAGCTAATGACCTAATAACCAGCTACAGCTCTAAAGTCAACATGAAACGTGTTCGCAACTCAGGACCGAATTTTCTTCATTGGGCATTAATTGGATTGTGAATAGTAGAGATTTTTTTTAAATCATTATAATAAAGCAATAAGCCCCGTGAAGACGTGGTTTACAGTGAATTTATAACAGCTAAGGGGCGTTGTTAGGCACGACGCAAAGCGGAGTGCCTAAAACCCCATTAGCTGTTATAAATTCACTGTAAACCACAGCTTCACGGGGCTTATTGCTTTTATAAAACGGTTATTCCATATATGTAGTACGGTTTCACAAAATAAAACAGAGCAAATAAAGTGTAATGATTAGGGTGTAACGATTCACTCGTTTTCTCGATGCATCGATTACATACCTTGATGATGCAATGCATCGATCTCGAAACATGGATTTTTGAATCGTGAATCGTTGATTTTGGACAGTAATTGATTTAAAACGCTAAGAATCGAATGAATCGCGATTTCTATAGCGATTCAATGCTTTCAAAATATATACACATTAAATTACTACAAGCACGAATTAATGGAGACCTTGAACAGTGTTCATGCCCTCGAATCTCTCCTTCACGCGCTCCACTATTTACCGCCTGTGACTGTCACAGGATTGCGCTCGCGCTCAGTTCGTCTCACTGACACATGTTTTGAGCAGCTGATGTGTGATCTCTCCTGAGTACTCGTGGCCAGCAATGCTAAAGTGAAGTAGTTTTACTTTTCTGTAGTTTTTCAATGGCTCTCGGTCATTCCGACGACATTACCTGAGCAGTCGAAGGCAGCGCATTTACGGAGCAAAAATGTAAGTGTCTAAAGCATACGCACAGTTCCATTGAATGATAAATGTGTTTTAACAATGTCACTGAACCGAATGTACGAAGGAAACTGTTAAAATAACCACAGCATTAACCACAACCTTGAAATAAGAGCGCGAGGCGTATCTGATAATCAGATGCATGAAAGTAGAGTTCGTTGCTATAGCAAACAGACATCGGCACGTTTTCTTTCAGGATCATCATTCGCTGATGTTACATATGGAAAAGTTAAATACTATAGCATTTTATTTTATGAAAATGAGATAAAGAAGTTTTTGCACTGAAAGAGAAGTGATCTCGCGCTCATAGACGTGCCAGGCTATATCTGAGGCTAAACTGTATAAAAAGCAGAATGAACTGAAACGTTAAGACAATAAACACAATAAATAAATACAATTTATGAATGATGCAGTGGTAATTGACATATAATTTATTACAGTACAGAAACTATAAAGTATATATTTTTTACCTTATTCTGTGCAGAAAATTGAAATAATTGTTTGTAGTATATAAAACAATCATAAAACTGCCCCTCGGTCCGTTCGCCGCGGGGCCCGGTGCGACCGCACCAGTTGCACCCCCCTAAGGACGGCCCTGAATGCACTTAAAGAATGCATAATCGAATCGTTAATCGAATCCAATCAAATTTAATTGTGAATCGAATCGAATTGAATCGTTCTGAATTTGCAAAAATCGTTCTTGAATCGAATCGAAAACCTATGAATCGTGAATCGAATCGATTCACTGTCTACCCAAAGATTCACAGCCCTAGTAATGATATTAATAAAAACAGTATTCTTCCACCAATGTAGTTCCTCAGAAACAGTTGTTGTTGCAATAAAGTGGTTGCCAAACAACACACAAAGTAAATAAAGGTGTATGTTTGTAGAGTAATTTACAACAGCTTCGAACATGGCTCAGCCAATCAGAATCAAGGACCGGAACTATCCGTTTTATAAGCTGATATTAGATAATGAATTGTGTATGCTCATTAGAATTCATGAGCAGCTTATTAGAATTAGAATTCTCAGCTTATTAGTATTTTAATATATCTACATCACTAGTCTCAAAGGTGAAAGAAGTTGTTGCATTTTAATGTAAAATTACACATATAAATCCATTTTTTCTTTGTATAATGTACACTGATGAGTCATGCACAATAAGACAAGCAATATGTGTTAATAAAGTAAATAAGGTCCGTTTTGATTTGATGTTTATTCTAGGCTAGATTTTTCTAGATTTTCCAGCAGGGGACATGAATGTTCATATACTGTACATACTGTTTAAAGGTTTGGGCTTAGTGTTGTTGGTTTTTTTTTTTGGACAGGATTTTTTTTTTTCACTCTGTAAAGATGACTGGAGTAATGACTGCTGAAAATTCAATATTTCCATTACAGGAAAAAATTACATTTTAAAATATATTAAAAAGATTTGGGTTAGTAAATTGTAAAAAATATTTCATAATAAAAACCTGCTGACCCCAAACATTAGGACACTTGTATAAAAAGTAATTAATATTATTAATATTGCTTGAAATAAATGCGAAATGAATGATAATGTTATAGATAAAAATATATAGATAAATCTGTCAGTGATGAGGTCTGTGCAGAGCATACAGTATTCCTTTTACTCACAGCCACTAATGGGGTGGATGGGGATGTGATCACGGTACCATGTGATGTTTGGCTTGGGAAAGCCTTCTCTGGTCTCACAAGATGCAATCTAACCAAGTAAAAGATGTGTCAGCTTAAACCCACCACACAGTATTTGACTCACACAAACATTATATATGCACACAGAGAGAATCTAAGTATATGATGTACCTTAGCTGGGGAGTCACCGGACACAGAAACTCCAGAGAGGACACCGTCAATGACAGGAGGCTCTGGGGGGTCTGAAAACAGCAAGTTAATATTTATACTTATAAACTCAGGAAAAGAAGCAACGATATTAAGCCATTTAGTGAGAATGTTCAACTGACAGAAGTGAGAGACTTACCAAAAACCTTCAAGAGAGTCCTGCCCTCTCCATTGCCTGCTGCCAAACCACTGACCTGACAGAAAAACTCTCTTTCATCAGACAGCTTAACGTCCTGAATGGTCAGAGTTTCTCCATCACTGTTTGATCGCACACTGATACGATTGCTGTAGCTCGTGTTCTCGTCCACCTTCTGCATGGTCAGGTCGCTGTAGGAGATCCTGACCCGGTGACCTTCACGTTCCCGCTGAGGATGATGGGAAGTAAAACTTGGTAAATGGTCTGTAGATATGATTCGAGTCCCCCATTCAAATGTAAGTCTAAGGGACTTTTTAATCATTTTAATGTCAGCCAGGCAAAATTTTAAAATCTGAGCAATTAAACATATCCAGAAACATTAAAGTGTATCTTTATCTGTTTCCATTCATCTATTTCTAATATTCTTTCATCATTTTGTCCATCTATTGAAAGTCCCTGCAACCAAAAATTTCACACACTAAAAAAAACACAAAAAAAACAAAGTACACGCAGTAAAAGACATTGTAAAAGTGCTCCAAATGAAACAAGCGGTTTAATCCAAGTCTTCTGTAGAGACACGATCCATTTCAATGATGAACAACTTTAATATTATTCCCATTCAAAACATTGATCAATATTCATAGAGCTCATCAAATATGGTCAACGAAAGCTCTAACATACTTGCTTGACGTCACATAAACATGTTTGAGTTTCTGCAAGAAACAATGAAGTTTGTTCTCACACCAAACAAGTATAGTTGAGCTTCGGTTTACCATATTTAAGATTGTTTATGCATGCTGATCAATGTTTATATGTGAATAAAAGCCTAAATTTAATCTGTTCTCCACATAACGCGATTGCATCACTGTAGAAGACTTGAATTAAACTGGATTACTTTTACAAATCTTTCAGGTTTCTTTAAAAATATCTTAATTTGTGCTCGAAGATGAACACGAGTCTTATAGATTTGGAACGACATGAGGGTACACAGAATTATCATTTTTGGGTGAACTATTGCTTTAAATCAAATAAGTGAAAGAGTCTGAGAGCTTTCAGGACTCACCACAAACCACTGGACCATGACCATCATGGGCTTCTCAGTGAAGGCGTACAGGCAGGGGATCTCTGCAGACTCATCCATGTAAACCTCTACAGAGTCCTCCATCCTAAGATCCACTAGCGCCCAAGCTGCCAAAGAAAACACATTGAGATTGTGTGCTTGAGGCCCTATGAGAACAAACGCTGCTTTATTATCAACACGTGACAAAAACCCCCACATTAACAAGCTTTTAATGCCTTTTAGATTGTGTACTAATGTTTAAGCCACAGCCTTAGAGAAAACTCAATTACACTCCTATTAATGTTAGGTCAGCAGCAGTAAAACACTCTCTTTGTTAAAATTGTTCAGGATCAGTTGAAGTCTGTACATGATGACAAGGCCCTTGCTGGATCTGTACACTGTTTTTGCTTCTTCTGCACTGATTGTGGGGTGAAATTATTTAGGATTGATTTAATATGGTAAAAAGAGGACAGAGAAGACATAAAAAAAAAATAATAATTGCCAAAGCAGATAAACAAACATTGCTGGTGACACAGGTTTTCATGCTGTCATGTTAAAGATGTTATCATGGTTTTGACGTTTTTCATAGTTTCACAGTTGAGACTTCTGCAGAATTCTGGGACTGTAGTTTGCATGCGGGCCAACTGAGAACATCAGACAGTTATTAAGTCATTGGTCTTAGTTGTGATCCTGTTGTGATTGCTATCAGGACAGCTCACATGGTATCTATGCAGTTCTTTTCAATTTTCCGGAACTGCTTGTTGGGGAAAATCAATGTAATTCCAATGCACATACGTCAGATCTATTGATAGCAAAAAGCATATTCAAATTAGCCAATATATTTAGTAAACAAATACACAAGGGATGTAAGAGGTGTATAACTTGACTGAGGAATGTTTAAATTCTGCAGAACTTTTTGTAATTCTGCAGGCAGATTCTCTGCAGCCTTGCTGATGACCCACATTTGTAGTTGCATTGATATCTTGCAGAAGTTGAAAGTTAAACCGCACTGGCACAGCTTCACATGGCTGGCAATATTACTTTGAAGAATGCTCTAGGCCACCATACCACATCAACACTGACCGAATCACAGGAAAATAGGCAAAATCATTAACTCCATACAAGTTATTCTGCATACTGTATAAGCTATTACATGTTATGGCTCTTGAATGCATTTTCATAGAAAGCAAGAGATAAAACATGGCCCATTAGCTTACTTCATAATGCATAAAGTGGATTGTCTTTGCAGGAATATGAAAAACTATTAATATGCATTTAAGGTGTTAAGCTGAATCTTGCAAAAATATGTCCAGGTCCGAAAGAAATAAGAGCATAACTCAGAATAAATCAGACTATTTTAGGAACATTAAGATTGTTTGTATTGTGACATATGGTATTTAACACAATTAAGCTAATTTTTTTTTAAAGCTAATTAAACTTATTACTATAATGTGTCTAGTGCTTAAAGATAACATTTTTTTTATTTTTTTAAAAAATCTTACTATATTACAGAGAATGAGATTCTGCATTACAGTAAAGAGAACTGGCAGGAGGGAGACGTTACTGTCAAATCAGTTAACAATAACACGCTATTGAATGGTTTTGTGAAATTCACCCTTAAATGGATAGTTCACCCAAGAAACATTTTTTTTTTTATGTACACTACCATTCAAAAGTTTGTGGTCAGTAAGATTTTTATTTTTACAAGTAATTTATATTTTTATTCAGCAAGGATGCATTAAACCAATCTAAAGGTAAAATAAAGACATTGTAAAGACATAAAAATAAATAATAATAATAATAAATGCTTTGCCATCACAGGAATAAATGGCATTTTAATATATACTAAAATAGAAAGTAATTATTTTATATTGTAATAATATTCCACAATATTTATTGTATTTTTTAATCAAATAAATGCATCATTGGTGAGCAAAACCTCTTTTAAAAACAATAATACATTTTACTAACCCCAAATGTTTGAACAGTATTTATTTATTTATTCATTCATTCATCAATTAATTCAATTTCAATGTGACACAAAATAAGATGTTTAGCAAAATGTAAGAGCTGCTCTTGTCCATTCAATAGAAGTGAACAGAGACTGGATTGGTTCAATATTTAATAGTACCAAAATATATGGCTCAAGTACTACAGTCCAAGTCTTCTGAACCCAGACAATAGCTTTGTGTGGAACAGACCAAAATATGAGTCTGAGTAAATGAAGACTCAACTTTCATTTTTGGGTGAACTATTCGTTTAAAATCCTCCCTGTCTTTACTTTCTGGCAGCCTCCTTTGTGGCAACATTGAGGTTTTGAGTGGCAAACACAGACCTGCCGGCAGCTGCCACCACACCAACTGAAAAAATATAGACCATATGTCTTTTGTCTGTGATGATTATATTTGGCAGCACACCTTCAATGAAGCGCAGAGAAAGAACAGCATTTTTAAAAACAAGACCCAGATTTTGTGACCACAAGCGTGATTTTAATCTGAAAATCTTTGTCTGACTCAGACATGAGCGATACAATTCATCTTTCATTCCTCAGATATCTGCGATCAAAACAAGCGTCCAGCCACTGTGACTTTTCAAATGTCACCCTCTGCCCTCAACGGCCTTTTTGTATCAAAAGAAAGTCGTTTTTTCCTCCCTTCAGCCCTTCCATCTCTCTGCAATCTGCTCTCTGTCTCTCTCTCGCTCTTTCTCTCCGCATGCAGAAAATAGGCTTGGACTGAAAGGCCTCCTTTTTAATTGGAAACATCTGGGAAGTAGGGAACTGGACTGGTGGGGTGCCGTGGAGACGGGTTATTATGGGATTTCCACGTCCTTGGCGAGTGACTGGTGGAGGAGAGAGAGACGTTGGCGAGGGTTCAGGGGTGAAGCGGCTTCACAACAACCTCATCACTCGTCTCCCTCCCCTCAGCGGTATGAGGTCAGTGGCACAGCTACTGCTGGGAAAGAGGGGATCTGGTTGTGTCAACAACACCCGAGATGGGTTGCCCTCAGAGCTCACGGTGTGTTTGTGATTGAATGATCAATGAGACATATGGTTTGTGCAATTTCAGCTCAACACTGCTAAAAATCATATCCTTAATCAATATCTTTGTTCAAAAATCCATCACTAAACACTGCTTAAAACGAGAGGTTTAATAGTAAATGAAAATCAGACAAAAAGTGTACTTAACAGGTTTAATGAGGGAAAGAACTACAATCCCATGAACCAATGCGAATGAGTTTCTCTATGGGGTTCAGGTCTGGTGAGTTTGCTGGCCAGTTAAAAGAACCAAAGACTTAAACTACTTCAGTCTGTGTGCATTGAATTTATTTAATACATGAGTTTCACAATTTGAGTTGAATTACTGAAATAAATGTACTTTTCCACGACATTCTAATTTATTGAGATGCACCTGTACATGGGAGTAAAGTGTACGGCAATTACATACTGCAAGTTAATGTGATTAACTACTAATTAATATACTATAATAATAATCTCACATTAATTGCAATATTGACTAACTAAGATATTTCTCCAGTGATGCATTATACTGTGGTAGTTAAGCAGCAAGTTACATTGTATGGGAAATGCACTCTCCAAAATATTCTCTTCAAATAAATGAAAGTATTGACCATAATGAAATATTCATGAATTAGGAACACATTCCCGCAACTTATTCGTGGCTACATTTTATTAATTCATTCCCTCGTTTCAATTTAATCATGGCCATGTTTTATTAATTAGTTCTATCTATATATATTTTTTTCTTTCATCCTTGCATGTCATGTGCAAGGCTCCTAAGCTATAACAATTGGTAAAGATGCTTTTTGGACCCAGATGTTGCAGCTACCAGCAGGGGCTAACAGCCATGCTAACCAACAAAACTCTGAAAGGCATGAATTGATCAAAAAGATAAAACTGACCATAGAAGAAGACAGTTTGCGCTAATGCCTGCTATAGCTCCCCTTGTGGCAATTCTGAGAATGCAACACATACTTATGAGCAATGTGCTGCGTTATGAAGTAAAACTTTCAGATGAAGTCATGAAATTGAACTTACATTTGAAAAATTAGGAAACAAAAAAAAATATATATATATATATACTGTATATATATACACTGAACAAAATTATAAATGCAACACTTTGTCTTAGATCTTTGAGTTCAGCTCATGAAAAATGGGGGCAAAAACAAAAGTGTTTCGTTTATAATTTTGTTCAGTGTATATATATATATATATATATATATATATATATATATGCCAATAGACCTATATAAAATACAATTATTATACTATATTAAATTATACTCAAAACAATGTCCAAACAAATACTTACATTTTTTAATATACATATATATATATATACTTAATTTGCTTATTGAGTAAATTAATTTAGTTGTTTAAAATATGTTTAGATTTTTGGAATAATTTTTTTTATGATTCCAATTTTTATTATTTTATTATTTTTTTTTATTATTATAAACAAGACAAAAGTGCTGATACTGTATATTTAGGGGCTTTTTTACACTATAAATAGAGCATTTCACACTAGATCTGGACTATAGCCACAAATGTCACTTAAAGGACAAATCAGAACAATAAAAACATAATTTCACAGAAACCTCAGTTCATTCATATGTGGATGTTGCAATATTTCTAGTAAAAATCTGAAGACCTACACACACATTTAGCCATCTAAATGTGGACATACCATAACCATAGTTTTTAGCCTATATAAAGCTGATCGTAATTACTTCAGACTAACACCAACCCACATCCTGCCTATAAAATCGAACTTTTTACATATTTAGAATTAAAAAAAAAAACTTTATTTTTAGAGCATTTTAACCTTTGAGGATATCCCCTTTGGGAGATTTTGTCAGATTTTGCAACGTTTGTGGACAATTTGGTCCCTAAAGTGCAGCTAAGTGACCCCCCCCCACACACAAACCCTTATTAAACTCACAGTCACATCCCGCTGATCCCATTCTGCATTCGCACCCCATTTTCAGGGCTGCTGTCTTTCTCCCTCGCCCCCTCCCTCTAGAACTCCACCCCTGCCGAGAGCAGCCGCCCCACTCATTGTGACTAAGACGCTGGCCCTATTTGCTTAGACCTCTCTGTCCTTTA